CCCCAAAACCCCAAAACCCCAAAACCCCGTAAAATTGATAAAAAATAGTTTCTAAGAAAAAGAAAAAATTGGAATTATTTAATTCTGTTAAATTAATCAACCTATTTTATTATAATTGATGGAATCTAGTGAATAAACAGCCGACACTGTTATACAAGCGGAGGAGACTAAAGTCAGTAGATTTAAAAACATAATCTCAGCAAATAAACCTAAAACTGATGGAGCTGCAAATAACTCATAAACAAATGTTTTAGATTAAGATCTGCTAAAATTCAGAATACCATTGCACCTTGATCAGCTATTGTAGTTAAATGTTGAGCATTTAAGAGATGTTATTGAGGAAATAATAAAAACTATGAACAGATAGCAATTCACTTTGACTGGTACAAGCTCATCTATTTTTAAGTGTAATTCTACCATTCATGAGTAAGATACCTTCCTTTTTATAATAATGTCAATTATAGCATGAAAAAAGAATTCAAAGAAATCAAGGTAAACCTAATATATTTTGGATAACCATAACTAGGACAAATTAGCCGAGTTGCTCAACGTTCTATTATAGCACGAGGAAAAATTACATGGTACTTTAAGCTCTATAGAGAACCTCGCTTTAAATCAATAACTAATTAAGCGAAACATATCTGGAGTTACTTCAAACTATGAAGAAAGTAAGAATTTCCCATTATGATTCAATATTCTATTACTAACATCACTCTATATTTTAGTTGAGGAAAAAATCAATGATTTAGTGAATAAAATACAGGGCTTTGAATTATTGCGCTAAAGTTCTAATAAATTACCAGAAAATGGCATGGACTTTTCATTCGACAATAGACAAGTTTCGCAGTAGTTTAATACCAATGTAGAGGATAGATTGAAGAAGTTGGAAGAACAGATCTTAAAAAAAGCAAACATTCAAGAATCTTAAGTCTCTAATATTAATCCAATATCTAATGACGATAGTGTAATTCAAGAACTTATTAAAAAGTAGGAATCAAAGGTTCAAATTCATCAACAATAAATAGAGGGTCTTTAGAGGAATAATCAAAAGACACTTTCATAGATAGAATAAATATTTAATGAGCTCTAAAGTTTAAAATAATCACTTGATAGTAAGGTTAACAAATTGTAGTTTGATCAGGATATTGCAGCCCTACAAAAAATAAAAACACCTGGAATAATGTAAAGAAAAGAATAGAGTAATTAAAATGTCGTTACCTTTCAATAAGATTAATTAAACAATCTGTCGGATATAAATATTAAGCTATTAAACCACGAGGAGTCAATTAAAGACATCATTAGTCATTATAGCAAATATAATTTTGATGACTTCTTTGCCAATCTACAACACCTATAAAAGTAATAAACTCAAGATAAAGAACATAATCTTAAGACCTTTGATTAAAATAAGATAAGCATGGATCAGCTATAAAAGTAGATAAACAACATTAACACATTCGTCCAAAATACATAATCTAAACTAAACTAGTTAAATGATTCAATGAACAAATAGTCTGTTATCAATGAAAATTTTGCAAATAAATTGCAAGAAATTGTTAGAGGAATTCAAGGCTTGAGATCATAAAGTGTAACATCTACTAAAATTCCTGAGACTAACTACACATCCATGAATAGAAGTAGTTAATTAGAGGACTAGGATTTATTGTTTGAAATAAATGATGAAATCAGGTAAATTAAGGAGGAATTTTAAAACTTTAAGAAGAGTGGGGGTAGCTTTTTGATATCTCAGAATTTGCAAACACCAATTAATCTAGACTAGGCCTCAGCTGTTTAGCTAGAATGTAAGATATTTATTTTTCAAATAATTTAGAATCTATTGTTGAAAGAGTAAATCAAGCACTTGCTTAATTTGGGCAAAACTTTATTCCTAAGGATGATCTGCAAAGGAACATTCATTAGGTTGAAAGCAATGTAAATTATTGAAAATTTGAAATGATTTTTAGATGAAATAATATGTTGAAAGAGCATTTACAAATAATTCTCCTAGAAGAGATGACTCAGATGATGCGATGTTATCAAGAAAACCATTAAATGGCACATTTTGTGCCTCTTGTGATAAGGAATTAGTTAATTTGTACCAGAAATAGAATGAATTTTAGATTTGGAATAAAATGCCTTTTAGAAATCCTGGAGAGAGAATAGCAAAGGTGGGGTAAGGATTCTCAAAGATGCTCGCAATGGTTTCACCACAGAGCACTATGAGCCAATTAAATAAAACTTCTTCTAAGTTTATCCCCAACTCATCTGTGTATAAAAGTCTTACTAGAGTTCCCTAATTGAAGGATATTTCATCCTAGGACTTTATGAGAATGCCAGAGACCACAGATTCGAAAAGAGATTCAAGCAGAAATAAGTTTGTACAAAAGAATAGGAAACTAATGACGATGAAGAGACCAATTGGAATTAAAACAGCAAATAATTCTGATGATGACATGAATCCCAACATCTTAGACCAGAGTTCGAATTAACTACCATTAATTGCAAAGTCAAGGAGAAATCAAGATTAATCATAGATGAAAACCTACTTGATATAGATAGAATGAGATTAACTCAGCCTGTTTTGTGTGCACCTAACCTATGTTATATTTAGAACTTTAAGATTAGTTAATATATCTTAATTTTAATTCTCTAAAATATTAAGTTTTAATATGAAAGAGATAACTGTCAGATGATCTTTCCATGTTTAAGAAAACAAGAGTTTAGAATACAAATTTATGAGGGTAAATTAATAGAAGTTAAGGTCTAGTGATGAATATTACATTGACTCAAAGTCTGTCCTTTAGGATGGCATATCCCATATCATTTAGTTCCTTCTCGTATCTATAACAAACATTAAGTTTCATTCTAAATAATAATTCAATAATTACTGCTCCATTTCAGTCTGATAAAGTTGCTTGAGTCTCTCATGTCTTAATATCTTAAGCTCCTAATTGGCTTGACTAAGCTCCTGTACGATTTGTCTCTCGTTAGCATTGTTCTTTCTCCAAACCTCAAACTTTGAGTGACCCTCATGCCATTCAGTAGTTCTTCCGATTGCTTCAATCCTGTATTTAATTGACAAAAGATAAGTCATACTTTTTAGCGTATTCAGCATAATCTCTATATTTCTCATCACCTTTGACTCTTTGTTGGATGTTATATCCTGCTTGGAAATGAGCATATTGATTTTTCTACATTTTGCTTATTTTATTTAAATATTATTTAAAATTCCATTTTTCTTATTTTCATACATTTTGGGGTTTTGGGGTTTTGGGGAGATCGGAAGAGCACACGTCT